GCTCCCTGAGCCTCAGCTCACAGGGCACCGTGCTCCCACCCCTTCAGAGGCATCCACAAAGGGGTCGGGGGAGGTGTCTCGTTTCAGAGGGGTATCAAGCCAGTCAGTGGCCCCCTGTGGACCACCCCAGCCTGCTGAGATGAGGGTGAGCAGGAGTACAGAGCGGGGGCTCTGGCTTCTCCAAAGCTGTATCCTCCCCGGCTCCGCATCACTTCGCCTCTCAGTGTCATCACAAAGGGTGCACAGTGACAGCCGCTACCCATGGGGTGGACGGGGCGGGAAATGAGCCCCTGCTGCAGAACCGCTGCCAAGCCTGCTGCTGCTCCAGAGCAGGGTGCCGCTCCTCACTCACCAGTCAGCCACACAGATCTCAATCTGGGCGCTGTCCAGTAGCTCCTGCCACACACCTTCCATCACCAGGTCCACAAGCTGCCTCTTGGAGCACCATCTGGGAAGGAGAGATGGCAATGGGCAGGGCAAACAGTCCCGGCATTCAAGGCGCAGTCAGAAACCACCTCCTCCAAGAAGCCTCCCTTGATAACCCTCTCTAAAGCAGCCCTCAGGGTTTGCTCTAGCAAACCTGAAGATCTATGATGGGCTATACATCTCTTCTTGGCCTCTTGGATTCCCTTTGCCATTCTCCACCCTGCTGCGGGCTCCAGGCAGCTGACCTCTATGAAAGCCTGACCCTCATCTATGTGGGACAAGACATGAGTACAAATGAAGGCCACATACTAGACATTTGAGCGGGGAGCTCTGTGGTGGGCCTCCTAAAGTGCGAGGGCCCCGGGTCTAAAGCTGGATGGCCTGGTCTCTGTCACCTATTGCTTCCTGTTGGATCAGCCAATGGGATGCTCCAGCAGGGGATGGAAGTGAAGGAGGTGACTAAAATCAGGGTATATATCCTCTTGGGTCCTTCTCAAGGGACTGCCTTGTCCCCCAAGGAAAAAGCACAGCTCCACAGCACGCTCTTCTCATTTTTCAGTAACTGTTTCCTCCCCTCACCTCTAGTAATCTAGGGGTGGTAATGTTCCTTCTCTGTTACTAGCTCAGGGACTCCTGCCAACAACTTTGTAAACAGTCCTTCACCTCAAATTAGAATGTGCCATAATCACATACATTGTGCAGTATTGGTGGAAGGACAGGTAAGTTGACCAACGGAATAGAACAGAGTGCCAGGAACTGACCGAGCGTGGTGGCTTAGGCCTGTAATCCCAGCACTTTTGAGAGTCCAAGGCAGGTGGATCACTGGAGGTCAGGAGTTCGAGACCAGCCTGGCCAATATGGTGAAACCTCTTCTCTACAAAAAATACAAAAATTAGGCTGGGTGCAGTGGCTCACGCCTGTAATCCCAGCACTTTGGGAGGCCGAGGCAGGTGGATCATGAGGTCAGGAGATTGAGACCATTCTGGCTAACACGGTGAAACCCCATCTCTACTAAAAATGCAAAAAATTAGCCGGGCGTGGTGGCGGGCGCCGGTAGTCCCAGCTACTTGGGAGGCTGAGGCAGGAGAATGGCGAGGCGAGCTTGCAATGAGCCGAGATTGCACCACTGCACTCCAGCCTGGGCGACTGAGCGAGACTCCGTCTCAAAAAAAAAAAAAAAAATTAGCCAGGCATGGTGGCGCACCCCTGTAGTCCCAGATACTCAGGAGGCTGAGGAAGGAGAATCACTGAAACCCAGGAAGCAGAGGCTACAGTGAGTCGAGATTGCGCTAGTGCACTCTAGCCTGGGCAACAAAATGAGATTCTGTCTCAAAAAATTAAAACAAAGAAAATCAGAGTGCCAGGGATAGACCTAGGTATGCACAGAAACTTCATAAACCGTAGAGATGGCATCATCATTCCATGGGGAACAGATTATTTCTCTCTCTCTTTTTTTTTCTTTTGAGTCAAGGTCTTATTCTGTCACTAGGCTGGAGTGCAGTGCCGTGATCCTAGCTCACTGCAACCTCGAACTCCTGGGCTCAAGAGATCCTCCCACCTTGGCCTCCCAAAGTGCTGGGATTACAGGCATGAGCCACCATGCCCGACCTTCAGTTTCCTACTATAAAGTGGGGGCAATAATAGTATCTATGTCACAGGGTTGTTGCCAGAATTATATGTAAAGTGTCTAGTACAGAGTAACCCCTTGTGGAGGCAAGAGTGCCTCCATCTTGGATGCTAATCTGCCATGTTCACTTTTTTTTTTTTTTTTTTTTTGAGACAGAGTCTCACTCTGTCGCCCAGGCTGGAGTGCAGTGGCGTGATCTCGGCTCACCGCAACATTTGCCTCCTGGGTTCAAGCGATTCTCCCGCCTCAGCCTCCCCAGTAGCTGGGACTACAGGTGCGTGCCACCACGTCCAGCTAATTTTGTCTTTTTAGTAGAGACGGGGTTTCCTCCTGTTGGCCAGGCTGGTCTCGCACTCCTGACCTCAAGTGATCTGCCTGCCTTGGCCTCCCAAAGTGCTGGGATTACAGGCGAGAGCCACCGTGCCCGGCCCAAAACCCTGTCTTTAGATCAAACTGGTCTTGCTGTTGTCTCACAAACTGCAGGCGATGATGCACAGAGCATTACTGCCTGTGGTTGCTAACCTTCCTGATTTTTCCTTGTATCTCTGGCATATAAAACAGTACCCTCAACAAGAATTTGTTGATTGATGGAATGAATCAATGAATAAGGCTGGGCGCGGTGGCTCAAGCCTGTAATCCCAGCACTTTGGGAGGCCGAGACGGGCGGATCACGAGGTCAGGAGATCGAGACCATCCGGGCTAACATGGCGAAACCCCGTCTCTACTGAAAAAAAATACAAAAAATTAGCCGGGCGTGGTGGCGGGCGCCTGTAGTCCCAGCTACTTGGGAGGCTGAGGCAGGAGAATGGTGTAAACCCGGGAGGCGGAGCTTGCAGTGAGCTGAGATCCGGCCACTGTACTCCAGCCTGGGTGACAGAGCGAGACTCCGTCTCAAAAAAAAAAAAAAAAAAAGAAAAAAAAATGAATAAATGGGGGAAGGAGAGGGTGAAGGTGGCGATGAGAACAGTGTGGGGGTAGGGTCCCTTTCTCTCTCTGGGGCCCCTGCCCCAGGGATCGGGGCCTCTCACTTGGGCCACTCACTCGAAAGAGGTCACGAAGCAGGTCTGTGAAGGCGCTCCGGGTACCGGTGTTAGGTTCTTTTCTATGGCCCAGCCGTTCCCGCCGTGCTCCACCTCCCAGCCTCTGAAGCCCTCTGTGGGAAAACAAGAGTTGAACATATGATTTACCTGCCAGCCTGCCCAGCAGAGACCCAGCAACCACCCAGCTTGTGCTGTCCACCAGCCTGTCCCTCTTGTGCTCCAATCCTCCCTGGTTTCTCCTACCGACTCCTCCTCCCATTATCCTGTATTCCTGGTCCTACCCCAGAACTGTGACTCTCAGCCTTGCCCATCCACTCAGCTTCTCTTCAGTCACCCTTACTTGCTCTTTCTCCTTCAGTTGTGCTCTTCACTGTGTGTGTGTGTGTGTTAGACAGAGAGAGACAGGGTCTTACTCTATCGCCCAGGCTGGAGTGCAGTGGCTCCATCATGGCTCACTGCAGCCTCTAACTCCTGAGCTCAAGCGATCCTCCCATATCGGCCTCCAGAGTAGCTAGGACCACAGGTGCATGCCACCACACCTGGCTAGTTTAATTTTTTAATTTTTTTTTTGAGACGGAGTTCTGATCTTGCTGCCCAGACTGGAGTGCAATGGCATGATCTCAGCTCATTGTAACCTCTGCCTCCCAGGTTCAAGCGATTCTCCTGCCTCAGCCTCCCAGGTAGCTGGGATTACAGGTGTGCATCACCACACCTGGTTAATTTTGTATTTTAGTAGAGATGGGGTTTCGCCATGTTGGTCAGGCTGGTCTTGAACTCCTGACCTCAGGTGATCCGCTGGCCTTGGCCTCCCAAAGTGCTGGGATTACAGGCATGAGGCACTGCGCCTGGCCTAATTAAAAAAATTTTTTTAACCTTTTTTTTTTTGAGACGAAGTCTCCCTCTTGTCCCCCAGGCTGGAGTGCAATGGCAGGATCTCAGCTCACTGCAACCTCTGCCTCCAGGGTTCAAGCGATTCTCCTGCCTCAGCCTCCTCAGTAGCTGGGATTACAGATGCCTGTCACCATGCCTGGCTAATTTTTCTATATTTAGTGCGGGCGGGGTTTCACCATGTTGGCCAGGCTGGTCTCGAACTCCTGACCTCAGGTGATCCACCCGCCTCAGCCTCCCAAAGTGCTGGGATTACAGGCATGAGCCACCGCGCCCGGCCTAATTTTCAAAATTTTTAGAGACAGTCTCACTTTGTTGTTCAGGCTGGTCTCGAGCTCCTGGCCTCAAGCGATCCTCCCACCATCGCCTCCCAAAATGCTGGGATTACAGGCGTGAGCTACTGAGCCCCACCCTTTTTTTTTTTGAAGACAAGGTTTCTCTCTGTCACCCAGGCTGTAGTGCAATGGCACGATCATAGCTCACTGCAGCCTCGAACTCCTAGGCTTAAGCGATCCTCCTGCCTTGGCCTCCCAAAGCGTTGCCATTCGGCCTCTGCCCTGTTCTGCACCCCCTCTGCATATCAAACTGCTTGCTTTCTCCCCTGGCCCAGCCAGGGTCTTCCTCCCTTGCGCAGTCCACTCGTCCCGATTCCTGGGTCCACGGTCTTCAGCCCCGCCTACCGGACCTACAGCCCAGGCACTGCGTCCCTCAGCCCCGCCCCCTGGCTCCTCCAGGGGTCTCGCCCATTGGCTACATCTGTCTCAGACTCTGTCCCGGCCCCGCCCCTGTCTCGCTCACCCCGGCCCCCTCCCCCAGCCTCATGGGCACCACTCCCTGCACCCACGCTCTCCGCAGGAGTTGAAGATGAGGTTGCGGCGGAAGGGCGCGCGCAGACAGTAGCGCGCCAGGGCACACAGCGGAAACTCCTCCTTGTCTTCGTTGCTGGGCAGGCAGCGTTGGGCCACTGCATAGAGTGCGCGGCCCTCAGCGCTGCGGTCGCGGGCCAGCTGCAGCAGCCACACGGTGGGCCCGTCCACTATGTCGCGCCAGGCGCGGCACACTGGACGGCATCGCGTGACCAAGGCGCGTGGAGGCACGTGGCTCAGAACCTGCACCAGCAGCTCCGGGGGCAGCGCGTCCAGGGCCAGGGACGGGTCCGCCGGCAGCCGTCGCCGCGAGAGCCGGGCGCCCATCTCTAGCAGCCGGAGTCCTGCAGGTAGAGAGGGGTCGTAGGCAGGTCTTTGCCTCCCAGGGCGCAAGGCCCCTGCAGCTCGAGAAACCCCATTAGGTCCATGGGCAACCAGGGACCCACTCCCCTCTGATTCTGGGCCTCTCCCCATCTTTCCACCTTGGGCAAAAGACTCTGACCCCCGTCAGGACCGCTGTTCACGGCTTCCGTCTGGCGTTCACTTGTGTCGGGCTAAGCGCTTCACGTATATCACAAGTGAAACGGCAAAATAACTAACATAACTAACCCCATTTTTGTTTAAGGGGACTTTACCCATTCCTGCACATAGGCTAGGATAATTTTAGAGCGCTGAGATAATATGCAAAAACAGCAATCATGTAGTTTTTAAAACTAACTCTGGGATTAAAGAAGTATGTAAACAACTATGTTTTGTCAAAGATTTATAGGAGCACTGTGACCCAACCAAGGACAAAGAAGTCACCAACCTCCTCGGACCCTAGCTGGCACCCAGATGTCTGCAGTGGTCACCTCCTTATTTTATTATTACTTTTTTATGGAGCTAGAAACCAGGACTACAGCCTGTACCTCCTGGGCTCGAGTGATCCTCCTGCCTCAGCCTCCCAAGTAGCTGGGCCTATAGGTGCACGCCACTATGCCCAGCTAGTTTTTTATTTTATATATATTTTTGTAGAAATGGGGTCTCACTGCATTGCCCTGGCTGGTCTTGAACTCCTGGGCTCAAGTGATCCTCCTGCCTCAGCCTCCCAAAGTACTGGGATTGGTATGAGCCACTGTGCCTGGCCTGTTGGTCACCTCTTAATCACAATGCTCTTCTCTTCCCTCTGCCCTTAAAAAAAAAAAAAAAATTGTCCTGATTTAAGATGGTACTTTAGGATGATAGTCCACTGTGTTCTCAGTTTGCTGGCTCTCCAAATAAACTTGCTTTTCCTCCCACCAGCTGTCGTCTCTCTTGAGTTTGGTTTTTTTTTTTTTTTTGAGACGGAGTCTTGCTCTGTAGCCCGGGCTGGAGTACAGTGGCCGGATCTCAGCTCACTGCAAGCTCCGCCTCCCGGGTTTATGCCATTCTCTTGCCTCAGCCTCCGGAGTAGCTGGGACTACAGGCGCCCGCCACCTCGCCCGGCTAGTTTTTTTGTATTTTTTTTAGTAGAGACGGGGTTTCACGGTGTTAGCCAGGATGGTCTCGATCTCCTGACCTCGTGATCCACCCGTCTCGGCCTCCCAAAGTGCTGGGATTACAGGCTTGAGCCACCGCGCCCGGCCTGTTTTTTTTTTTTTTTTTGAGGCAGAGTCTCACTCTGTCACCCAGGCTGGAGTGCAGTGGCCCGTCTTGGCTCACTGCAACCTCTGTCTCCCAGGTTCAAGTGGTTCTCCTGCCTCAGCCTCCCGAGTAGCTGAGACTACAGGAATGCGCCACCACACCTGGCTAATTTTTGTATCTTTAGGAGAGACAGTTTCACCATGTTGGCCAGGCTGGTCTCGAACTCTGGACCTCAGGTGATCCACCCACCTCGGCCTTCCAAAGTGCTGGGATTGTAGGCATGAGCCACCGCGCCCGGCCTGAGCTTGGCTTTCTTTTCTTTTCTGTTTTTTTGAGACGGAGTCTTGCTCTGTCGCCCAGGCTGGAGTGCAGTGGCACGATCTGGGCTCACTGCAAGCTCTGCCTCCCAGGTTCACGCCATTCTCCTGCCTCAGCCTCCTGAGTAGCTGGGACTACAGGTGCCCACCACCGCGCCCAGCTAATTTTTTGTATTTTTAGCGGAGACAGGGTTTCACTGTGGTCTCGATCTCCTGACCTTGTGATTGCCTGCCTTGGCCTCCCAAAGTGCTGGGGTTAGAGGCGTGAGGCACCACGCCCGGCCGGCTTTCTTTTCTAAAACTGAGTCTTACTCTGTTGCCCAGGCTGGAGTGCAGTGGCACGATCTCAGCTCACTGCGACCTCCACCTCCCGGGTTCAAGCGATTCTCCTGCCTCAGCCTCCCAAGTAGCTGGAATTACAGGTGTGTGCCACCACACTGAGCCAGTAATTTCTGTATAGAGATGGGATTTCACCATGTTGGCCAGCTGGTCTCGAACCCCTGACCTCAAGTGATCCACCTGTCTCAGCCTCCCAAAATGCTGGGATTTCAGGCATGAGCCAGCATGCCTGGCCTGAGTTTGGCTTTCGAGTGTCAAGCCTCCAAACCTGGGTTGGGTTACAGACCCACAAGGAAACCCACTGTGGAAGAAACCATTTCCACCCCATATCCCAATGTGTTCCAACTACTGTAACCTTTGGAACCCATGACCCATCTTCAGCAAAATCTCTTCTTGCCTCAGTTACTTCTCTGAACATTCCTACTATCTTCTTGCTCTAACTGGAACCCAGCTCTCTTGTGGGCCTTCCAAGTGGGGAGGTCTTTGTGCTCCTGGGAGCTGCTTCCTGACCATTCTCCCTCCACCCTCCCCAAAACCCCCGGCGATGAATCTCATCACTACCCTGTCTCCTGCGTCATCTGCTGACCCAGATCATGACTCCTGTCTTCTCCCTAATTTTAGCTCTGGGCTCACGGTCGCTCCCGCAGCTCTTAGCATCATTCTCAGTGATTTCCATAACCAGATAGATAGTTCTTCCGCAGTCCCAACCTCTCTGTTCCCTGACCTCCCTCTAGTGGCTTTATCCTTCCCCAACCTCTCCCTCTCATGGTCACACCCAAACCTTGTCCAATAACAGCAGCCTCTTCAGAACCTCAATTTCACACACTCACTCTCCACCCATCACTTTCTCTTTCCACCTCATTCCCTCCAGTGCCCAACTCGCATGATCCTTCCAACCCACTGTGATCTCTCATCCTTTGTCCTTTTCATTTTTCACTCCCCCTCACCTCCCATGCCCTCATTTCTTCCTTAGCCAGCTTAAATTCCATGGTTAATCATTAAAAACATTCTTGATCTGGCATGCTGGCTCATGCCTGTAATCCCAGCACTTTGGGAGGGCAAGGTGGGAGGACTGCTTGAGGCCAGGAGTTTGAGATCAGCCTGGGCAACAGAGCGAGACTCCATCTGCACAAAAAATTAAAAAAATTAGCCAGGTGTGGTGGTGCACACCTGTAGTCCCAGCTACTCCAGAGGTTAAGGTGGGACAATCGCTTGAGCCCAGGAGTTGAAGGCTGCAGTGAGCTATGATTATACCGCTGTACTCCAGCCTGGGCAACAAAGTGAGACCCTGTCTCTAAATAAAATAAAATGAAAAGAATAGCAAAAAAAGTGGGGCTGTTGCTAGAAGGGGAGGTGAGGTCGAGAGAGGGTTTGGGCTGGGCGAGGTGGCTCATACCTGCAATCCCAGTACTTTGGGAGGCCAAGGTGGGCAGATCACTTGAGGTCAGGAGTTTGAGACCAGCCTGGCTAACATGGTGAAACCCCATCTCTACTAAAAATACAAACATTAGCTGGGTGTGGTGGCGCATGCCTGTAATCCCAGCTACTCAGGAGGCTGAGGCAGGAGAACTGCTTGAACCCAGGAGGTAGAGGTTGCAGTGAGCTGAGATCGCGCCATTGCACTCCAGCCTGGGTAGCAGAGTGAGACCCTATCTCAAAACAAAACAAAACAAAAACAAAAACAAAAACAAACAAGCAAAAAAAAAAAAAAATGAGAGGGTTTGTTTTGAGATGGGAGACAGGATGCTGTGTGGGCTGACAGGAGATCCAGTGCATTGGGGGAAACTGAATGAGCAGCAGAGAGAGGTGAGAACCAGGGACCGTGGCTGGAAGTGGGTGGGAAGGTGGGAGCAGGTGATGGGACAGTCACAGCAGGAAAACGGGTGTGGGCATGGTGCAGGTAGGTGGTAGAGGCAGGGGCGGCTGTGGAAGTTCACTTTTCATCTCTTGCATTTTCTCTGCAAAATAAGAAGCCAAGGGAGAGTGAAGCGGGGGGAGGAGGTGTTGGAAAGGATTGGGGGAGGAGGTGTTGGAAAGTTTTAGGGGAGAAGTGAAAAGGTATGAGTTAGTTGTCTAGAAGAGAGGAGGAAGGAGGGGATCAGAGAAATGTCATATGGCTGCCAGGCAGCATTGGAGTCTGCCTGAGGGTCAAGTTCACAGACTTGAAGTTAGCCTGGCCAGGGGGCTGTGTTGTTTTTTAGCCCACTTGAGCTGTGTGGGCGCAGGCACGGTGGAGAGGAAGGCTGGATTTAACCGGGGTCTCATGCAGGAAGAAGCCAAAGGGGGCAAGGGTGTGTGCAGAGAATGTGTTCTTTTTTATTTATTTACTTTTTTGAGACAGAGTCTCGCTCTGTCACCCAGGATGGAGTGCAGTGGCGCGATCTCAGCTCACTGCAACCTCTACCTCCTGGGTTCAAGCGATTCTCCTGCCTTAGCCTCCCAAGTAGCTGGGATTATAGGCGCCTGCCACCACGCCTGGCTAATTTTTGTATTTTTAGTAGAGACGGGGTTTCACCATGTTGGCCAGCCTGGTCTCGAATTCCTGAACTCAGGTAATCCACCCGCCTCAGCCTCCCAAAGTGCTAGGATTACAGGTGTGAGCCACTACGCCGGGCTGAGAATGTGTTTTTTTGTTTTGTTTTGTTTTGAGACAGAGTTTCACTCTTGTTGCCCAGGCTGGAGTGCAATGGCGTGATCTTGGCTCACTGCAACCTCCACCTTCTGGGTTTAAGCAATTCTCCTGCCTCAGCCTCCCGAGTTGCTGGGATTACAGGCACCCACCACCACATCTGGCTAATTTTTATATTTTTAGTAGAGACATCACCATGTTGGACAGGTGGTTCTCAAACTCCTGACCTCAGGTGATCCGCCCAACTCAGCCTCCCAAGGTGCTGGGATTACAAGCGTGAGCCACTGCGCCTGGCCTGAGAGTGTGTTATTTTTAATTTTTTGAGACAGCACTTGCTTCTTCACTCAGGTGCGAGTGCAGTGGTGTGATCACGGCTCACTGCAGCCTTGACCTCCCAGGCTCAAGTGATCCTCCCACCTCAGCCTCCCAAACTGCTGGGATTAGAGGCATGAGTCACCGCATCCAGCGTCTTTGTTTCTCTTTGTGGTAAAACTTCTCAAAAAAGCAATCTACCCAGTATTTTCTGCTTCCATTCTTCCTAAAACCTTTTCTTTTTTTTTTCTTATTTTTTTGAGACAGAGTCTCCCTCTGTCACCCAGACTGGAGTGCAGTGGCACAGTCTCAGCTCACTACAACCTCCGGCTCCGAAGTTCAAGTGATTCTTGTGCCTCAGCCTCCCGATTAGCTGGGACTACAGGTGCATGCCACCAGGCCTTGCTAATTTTTGTGTTGTTAGTAGAGACAGGGTTTCACCATGTTGCTGAGGCTGGTTTTGAACTCTTGGGCTCCAAGGATCCTGCTGCCTTGGCCTCCCAAAGTGCTGGGATTATAGGTGTGAGCCACTGTGCCCGGCTCCAGCGCCACTTCTTGCTATAAATTATATAAGCAATGGCAAGTCACTTAATCTCTTTATACCTCAGTTTCCCTTTCTGAAAATGGGGCTAACAGTGCCTCCATCATAGGGCTGTAGTGAGGATGAAATGAGTATTTTAAAGCACTTAGGAAAAGCCCCTGCAGGCTCCTAAATAAGAGTGATGTTAATTTAATATTAGTCCAGGCGTGGTGGCTCACACCTGTAATCCCAGCACTTTGGGAGGCTTAGGTTAGCGGATCAATTGAGGTCAGGAGCCCAGGCAACATGGCGAAACCCCATCTCTACAAAAAAGACAAAAATTAGCAGGGTATGGTGGGTGCTTATAATCCCAGCTACTCGGGAGGCTGATGCAGAAGAATCACTTAAACCCAGGAGGTGGAGGTTGCAGTGAGCTGAGATCGCGCCTCTGCACCCCAGCCTGGGTGACAGAGGGAGACTCTGTCTCAAAAAAATGATGTCAGGAATATTTGCTACATTCATGGACTACTTTCCTGACACAGGCTTATTTCTTTTTTTAAAATAAAACCTTAATTTGTTTAAAAATGACAACAGTTGACATGAATTGAGCACTTATTGGGCACATGCAGATAACAAGCATTAGATCATTAAAGCCTCTTAAAAAGGGCACGCTCAAAGGAGAGTTTTGCCCATTAAACAAGATGATGGAAATCACGAGCTGATCCAGCTTAAATGCTCAGCACAGTGGCTTAATAAGGGCCAATAAATGCCACTAAATCAAAATGTCACAGCTAAAATAGTTGTGTCAGCCAGGCACGGTGGCTCATGCCTGTAATCCCAACATTTTGGGAGGCGGAGGTAGGTGGATCATTTGAGGTCAGGAGTTCAAAACCAGCCTGGCCAACAAGGCGAAACCTGTCTCTACTAAAAATACAAAAATTAGCCGGGCGTGGTGGTGGGAGCCTGTAATCCCAGCTACTCAGGAGGCTGAGGCAGCAGAATCACTTGAACCGGGGAGGCAGAGGTTGCAGTGAGCCAGGGAATGTCCCACTGCACTCCAGCCTGGGCAACAAAGCGAGACTCTGCCTCAAAATGAATAAATAAATAAATACATAAATAAATAAAATAAAATAGTTGCTGTCTCTTTTTAAAAATGATGTGTCATAATCATGGCAACTAGCATAATTTAGTATTTCATATTAATTTTTAAAATATTAATATTAATTTTCACAGGTGTGAGCCACCATGCCCAGCCCCGACATCATCTTTATTCCTACTGCAGAAAGAATGAAGTTGTGGAGACAGACTTGACAAAGACCAAGCTGTGCTTTTCTCCAGGTGGTTCTGAGTTGCATTAATAGTTCACTGAGGCCCGGTGCTTGAACCCAGGAGGCAGAGGTTGCAGCGAGCTGAGATCACACCACTCACTGCACTTCAGCCTGGGTGACAGAGCGACTCTGTCTCAAAAATAAATAAATAATTCCCTGAGGTTTATAAACAAGTCTACCAGCCTGCCTGGCATGGATGTGATGCTCACCAGAGTTTAGTTCCCTGGAGTTCTTCTTAGGAGGAGTTCTTGGTTCCCACTCTTCTTAGGAGTGTGTTCCCACTGGCAAAAGGAGGATCTCTGGGGCTGGGGGTGGACCCCTCGCCCAACAAAGACAGCCAGACTTCACCAAGGAGCAGAGATGTTCAAGAAACATACTGAATGAGCCCTCATCTATACCACACGAACCATATTAAATGCTTGTGTGGGGCCCTGGTGTGGTGGCTCACACCTGTAATCCCAGCACTTTGGGAGGCTGAGGCAGGAGGATCGCTTGAGCCTAGGAGTCCAAGACCAGCCTGGGCAACCTGGCGAAACCCCATCTCTACAAAAAAAAATACAAAAAAGTTAGTCAGGCATAGTGTCACGTACCTGTAGTCCCAGCTACTTGGGAGCTGAGGGGGAAGGATCACTGAGCCTGGGAGGTTGAGGCTGTGGTGAGTCGTGAAGGGGCCACTATATTCCAGCCCAGGTGATAGAATGAGACCCTGTCTCAAAAAAAAAAAAAAAAAAAAAAAGTTTGTGGCTGGGCAGGATGGCTTATGCCTGCAATCTCAGAACTTTGGGAGACCAAGGTGGTCGGATCACCTGAGGTCAAGAGTTCGAGACCAGCCTGGCCATCATGGTGAAGCCCCATCTCTACTAAAAATACAAAATTAGTCAGGTGTGGTGGTATGCTCCTATAGTCCCAGCTACTTGGGAGGCTGGTGAGAGAATTGCCTGAACCCAGCAGGTAGAAGTTGTGGTAAGCCACTGCACTCTAGGTTGGGCAACAGTGAAACTGTCTCAAAAAAAAAAAAAAAAAGGAAAGAGGAAAGAAACACAAAAAGTGGCTCAACAGTCAAAGACAGGTTTATTTTGGAGAATAAGCCTGAGAGGGGCTTCTGGAGGATTTTTGTTTTGTTTTGTTTTGTTTTTTGGGAAAGGTTGAAAAGTACCCACTGCAAGGTTGAATGCCAACTACTGGCTGGGTCATAATAGGACAAGTAGGGCCTGGTACTGCCTGCTTCCAGGGTTTTTGGGAGAGTGTATTTGAAGGAAAGTTACTGGCTGTCAGAGTGACCAGGGAATGCTACTGGTATTCAGCTACCCAAAGAGACCCAGGATGCTATGGCAGACTGTATTTTTCAAAAGTGGCTATGATAACATTTCCTATCTGACATGCTCTTTAAGTTCACCACTGCTCATGAAGCTGTGGGGTCCACATTGCTCCCCTGGGCATGTGCGGGCCTTTGCAACTGCCTCAACTTTCAGAGCACTGCAGAAGTGGATTTCATTCTCTCTCTGTCTCTCTCTTTAAGAGACAAAGTCTCACTCTGTCGCCTGATTGGAGTGTAGTGGTGTGATTATGGCTCACTGAAGCCTCGAACTCCTGGGCTCAAGCGATCCTCCTAACTCAGCCTCCTGAGTAGATGGGACTGCAGACACATGCCACCATGCCCAGCTAAGTGTGTTTTTTATATATATATATGTATATTTTTTTTTTTCTAGAAATGAGGGGTCTCCCTATGTTGCCCAGGCTGGTCTCCTCCTGGGCTCAAGTGATCCTGTCGCCTTGGCCTCCCAAAGTGCTGGGATTACAGGTATGAGCCACTGTGCCAGGCCTGCTAGGGATTTCTGAGGCTGGATCATAAAAGAGTATGCAGCCTCTGCTTGACTGTCTTTCTTTCTTTCTTTCTTTTTTTTCTGAGATGGAGTCTTCCTCTGTTGCCCAGGCTGGAGTGCAGTGGCCCAATCTCGGCCCACTGCAATCTCTGCCTCCTGGGTTCAAGCAATTGTCCTGCCTCAGCCTCCCGAGTAGCTGGGATTACAGGCGCATGCCACCATGCCTGGCTAAGTTTTGTATTATTATTATTATTTTTTTTTCAGTAGAGATGGGATTTCACCATGTTGGCCAGGCTGGTCTTGAACTCCTGACCTTGTGATTCGCCCCCCTCAGCCTCCCAAAGTGCTGGGATTCATTAGGCTGTGCAATTTGTGCACTTTCTTTTTTCTTTTTTTTTTTTTTTTTTTTTTTTTTTTTTGAGACGGAGTCTAGCTCTGTTGCTCAGGCTGGAGTGCAGTGGCCAGATCTCAGCTCACTGCAAGCTCCGCCTCCCGGGTTTATGCCATTCTCCTGGCTCAGCCTCCCGAGTAGCTGGGACTACAGGCGCCTGCCACCTCGCCCGGCTAGTTTTTTGTATTTTTTAGTAGAGACGGGGTTTCACCGTGTTAACCAGGATGGTCTCAATCTCCTGACCTTGTGATCCGCCCGTCTCGGCCTCCCAAAGTGCTGGGATTACAGGCTTGAGCCACCGCGCCCGGCCAATTTGTGCACTTTCTATAAAAGGTTTGCTAAAAATGGGCTGGGTACCATGGCTCACGTGTGTCATCCCAGCACTTTGGGAGGCTGAGGTGGGAGGATGGCTTGAACCCAGGGGTTCGAGACCAGCGTGGGCAACATAGTGAAACCCCATCTCTACAAAAAATAAACATTAAAAAATTAGCTGGACCTGGTGGTGTGCACTTGTAGTCCCAGATACTAGGGAGGCTGAGGTGAGAGGATTACTTGTGGCCAGGAGTTCGAGGGTACAGTGAGCTATGATTGCACTACTACATTCCAGCCTGGGTGACAGAGTGAGACTGTCTCCAAAAACAAAACACCACCACCATCACCAAAACAGAACACATACCCAAAACCCTCAACGTTTGCAAAAAATGATGAAAACAAGAAAAACAGATATGGTAGTCCATGGAAAGGAACAAAAAGATGTCCAAAAACTTTGCTCAAAGTCATCAAACGAAAGATGTGACTAGTTTAAAATAGAAGAATCTGTGAAAATGATTAAGCGTTAGCTTATAAGTATTTCCTCAGCAGATTCTCAAATTGTATAGTTTTTTTGAGGCCGAGACCTTTTTATACTGACTGGAAAATTCTGCACAAAAAATACCTCTGTGAATCATGATACCAGTTTGTTTTTGGTTTGTCCAGAGTATACTTTTGCCAGAGTATATTTATAATAATCCATTCTTCTTCTTTTTTTTTATGGCTCTGGGGACTGGGATCAGCTATGTGGTCCTCACTTAGGGAACTTGTGCCTTTGCCATCAGATGGATGGGGCTGGGTCATCTGAGGTTTCTTCCATCCTAGTCTGGCAGCTGAAGTGAGGAGACCTGCATAGCTGGCGCTCCTTAGACATTGCTTTCTATTTTCACCTGGCCTGTCCAGCTACTTTCAGAAAGAAACCAAATAATATCTTTTTTTTTTTTTTTGAGACAGAGTCTTGCTCTGTCACCTAGGCTGCAGTGCAGTGGCACGATCTCAGCTCACTGTAACCTCTGCCTCCCATGTTCAAGGGATTTTCCTGCATCAGCCTCCTGAGTAGCTGGGATTACAGGTGTGCATCACCACGCCTGGTTAAGCTTTGTATCTTTAGTAGAGACAGGGTTTCACCACGTTGGCCAGGCTGGTCTCGAACTCCTGACCTCAGGTGATCCACCCAACTCGGTTTCCCAAAATGCTGGGATTACAGATGTGAGCCACCGCCCCCAGCCGATATGGAACATTTCTATTGCCCCAAAAGGTTTATCCCTTCCCAGCCAACCTCCCCACTCCCACCCAACGGCAACTACTATTCTGTTTTTATTTATTTATTTTTTCGTTTTTGTTTTTGGTTTTTTAGAGTATTGCTCTGTCGTCCAGGCTGGAGTGCAGTGGTGCGATTTTGGCTCACTGCAACCTCCGCCTCCCAGGTTCAAGAGATTTTTCTACTTCAGCCTCCGGAGTAGCTGGGATTACAGGCACGCACTACCACGCCCGGCTAATTTCTGTATTTTTAGTAGAGACAGGGTTTCTTCGTGTTGGCCAGGCTGGTCTTGAACTCCTGAGCTCAATTGATCCGCCTGCCTCGGCCTCCCAAACCTGCTGGGATTACAGGTGTGAGGCACCTCGCCTGGCTGCTTTCTGTTACTATAAACTCAATTTTTCTTTTCTATAATTTCACGTAAATGGAATCATATAGTGTGTCGGCTATCAATCTATGACCTCATTGTTCTAAGCTGCGAAACTGGAGTTTGGTTCTAACCCACCCAGGGACGCTGTTAAAAAGAAAAAAAAAAGCGCCGGGAACGGTGGCTCACGCCTGCACTCCAGCCTGGATAAGAGCGGAACTCCGTCTCAAAAAAAAAAAATGAAAAAAAAAAAAAACAATAAAATAAAAAATAAATAAAAAAAATTGGAGTTTGGCCCTTTAAATCTTCTTCCTTTGCTGACTGACATGATGCTACATTTTTTTCAGTAGAGGGCGCTGGAGAGACGTAGGAGGAAAGGGTTTGGCTTCCAGTTTCCAGACTTGGCTCTTGCAGCGCAGTTACTCCCTCAGCGAGCACGCTTCTCCAGCCTCTGACTCCTACATGCGTGCGGTTTCTTTAGTGTCAGGAAGTTTCTCTGGCACATGACTCCTGAAATATGGCAGTCAGCAGCACCCACCTCAGCTGAGACACTTCCCTGTCAGCTGCTTTCCCCACCATCTTACTGGATGGATTTCTGCCGTATTCTACTGGTGCCGCACCACAGGGATCCTTTGTCCTTCGGTGAGCCATGGCAAACCTACTCCAGCAAGGTCGGGGTCACAGCCTGGGGCTCTCTTAGACTTAGGAGGAGTGGCTGCTCCTTGTATCTGCTATTTCTTTTTTCTTTTTTTTTTTTTTTTTGAGATGGAGTCTCTCTCTGTCACCCAGGCTAGACTGCAGTGGCACGATCTCGGCTCACCACAACCTCTGCCTCCTGGGTTCAAGCGATTCTCCTGCCTCAGCCTCCTGAGTAGCTGGAACTACAGGCGCCCACCACCACGCCCAGCCAATGTTTTTTGTATTTTCAGTAGAGATGGGGTTTCACCATGTTGGCCGGGATGGTCTCGATCTCTTGACCTCGTGATCCACCCGCCTCAGCCTCCCAAAGTGCTGGGATTACAGGTGTGAGCCACTGTGCCCGGCCTATTTCTACATTTGT